ACTAAAAAGGGTGTACCCTAATAAAAGTAATAAGAGGTTACTCACTGGAGGTATTCAGAGAATGTTACAGTAGCTCGACTATAAGCGAATGTTAATACAGCTACTCGTACCATCCAACATCCAACAGTCCTGCGCGTAGAAAAACATAGTAGTGGTAACTATTGGTTAATATTGGTTACTAGTGGTTACTAGTGGTGACTATTGGTTACTAGTGGTCACTATTGGTTACTATTGGTTACTATTGGTGACTAATGGTTACCATTAGTGAATAGTGTAGCTATAAAAGTGCAAAGTTTTAGAATATTGGTTACTAGTGGTAACCAGTGGTTACTATTGGTTACTAATGGTGACTAATGGTTATTATTAGTGAATAGTGTTACTATAATAGTGTTACTACAAAGTTTTAGAATATTGGTTTCTATTGGTTACTAGTGGTAACCAGTGGTTACTATTGGTAACTAGTGAAAGTAATTATTCTCACCACGCAGAAACATTAGTCCAGGTTTGAAAAGCACATGCTACAAAGCACCCAACAGCACTTGCTAACATCTTCATATTCACTGCGGTTACTATGGTTACTAGTGGTTACTACTTGCTAACATTTTCATATTCACTGCAAGTACAGTGTTTGATTATCACATCATTCAATTAATTGATTGACAAAGATATTAGATAAAGCGCGAAAATAAAGTTTCATGTTTCTTAAAAGTTGTTGTTTTTTGCACCAAATTTTTACCAGTGTGTGAGGAGTATTGATGAGTGTCAGTACTCTTACCAGTGTGTGTTTGTTTGTGATATGTAGGAGTATTGATGAGTGTCAGTACTCTTACCAGTGTGTGTTTGTTTGTGATATGTAGGAGTATTGATGAGTGTCAGTACCCTTACCAGTGTGTGTTTGTTTGTGATATGTAGGGGTATTGATGAGTGTCAGTACTCTTACCAGTGTGTGTTTGTTTGTGATATGTAGGAGTATTGATGAGTGTCAGTACTCTTACCAGTGTGTGTTTGTTTGTGATATGTAGGAGTATTGATTAGTGTCAGTACTCTTACCAGTGTGTGTTTGTTTGTGATATGTAGGGGTATTGATGAGTGTCAGTACTCTTACCAGTGTGTGTTTGTGTGTGATATGTAGGAGTATTGATGAGTGTCAGTACTCTTACCAGTGTGTGTTTGTTTGTGATATGTAGGAGTATTGATGAGGGTCAGTACTCTTACCAGTGTGTGTTTGTTTGTGATATGTAGGAGTATTGATGAGTGTCAGTACTCTTACCAGTGTGTGTTTGTTTGTGATATGTAGGGGTATTGATGAGTGTCAGTACTCTTACCAGTGTGTGTTTGTTTGTGATATGTAGGAGTATTGATTAGTGTCAGTACTCTTACCAGTGTGTGTTTGTTTGTGATATGTAGGGGTATTGATGAGTGTCAGTACTCTTACCAGTGTGTGTTTGTGTGTGATATGTAGGAGTATTGATGAGTGTCAGTACTCTTACCAGTGTGTGTTTGTTTGTGATATGTAGGAGTATTGATTAGGGTCAGTACTCTTACCAGTGTGTGTTTGTTTGTGATATGTAGGAGTATTGATGAGTGTCAGTACTCTTACCAGTGTGTGTTTGTTTGTGATATGTAGGAGTATTGATGAGTGTCAGTACTCCTACCAGTGTGTGTTTGTTTGTGATATGTAGGAGTATTGATGAGTGTCAGTACTCCTACCAGTGTGTGTTTGTTTGTGATATGTAGGAGTATTGATGAGTGTCAGTACTCTTACCAGTGTGTGTTTGTTTGTGATATGTAGGAGTATTGATGAGTGTCAGTACTCTTACCAGTGTGTGTTTGTTTGTGATATGTAGGGGTATTGATGAGTGTCAGTACTCTTACCAGTGTGTGTTTGTTTGTGATATGTAGGAGTATTGATTAGTGTCAGTACTCTTACCAGTGTGTGTTTGTTTGTGATATGTAGGAGTATTGATGAGTGTCAGTACTCTTACCAGTGTGTGTTTGTTTGTGATATGTAGGGGTATTGATGAGTGTCAGTACTCTTACCAGTGTGTGTTTGTGTGTGATATGTAGGAGTATTGATGAGTGTCAGTACTCTTACCAGTGTGTGTTTGTTTGTGATATGTAGGAGTATTGATGAGGGTCAGTACTCTTACCAGTGTGTGTTTGTTTGTGATATGTAGGAGTATTGATGAGTGTCAGTACTCTTACCAGTGTGTGTTTGTTTGTGATATGTAGGAGTATTGATGAGTGTCAGTACTCCTACCAGTGTGTGTTTGTTTGTGATATGTAGGAGTATTGATGAGTGTCAGTACTCCTACCAGTGTGTGTTTGTTTGTGATATGTAGGAGTATTGATGAGTGTCAGTACTCTTACCAGTGTGTGTTTGTTTGTGATATGTAGGAGTATTGATGAGTGTCAGTACTCTTACCAGTGTGTGTTTGTTTGTGATATGTAGGGGTATTGATGAGTGTCAGTACTCTTACCAGTGTGTGTTTGTTTGTGATATGTAGGGGTATTGATGAGTGTCAGTACTCTTACCAGTGTGTGTTTGTTTGTGATATGTAGGGGTATTGATGAGTGTCAACTGTCAGTACTCTTACCAGTGTGTGTTTGTTTGTGATATGTAGGGGTATTGATGTGTGTCAGTACTCTTACCAGTGTGTGTTTGTTTGTGATATGTAGGGGTATTGATGAGTGTCAGTACTCTTACCAGTGTGTGTTTGTTTGTGATATGTAGGGGTATTGATGAGTGTCAGTACTCTTACCAGTGTGTGTTTGTTTGTGATATGTAGGGGTATTGATGAGTGTCAGTACTCTTACCAGTGTGTGTTTGTTTGTGATATGTAGGAGTATTGATGAGTGTCAGTACTCTTACCAGTGTGTGTTTGTTACTTACCAGTGAGTGTCAGTACTCTTACCAGTGTGTGTTTGTTTGTGATATGTAGGGGTATTGATGAGTGTCAGTACTCTTACCAGTGTGTGTTTGTTTGTGATATGTAGGGGTATTGATGAGTGTCAGTACTCTTACCAGTGTGTGTTTGTTTGTGATATGTAGGAGTATTGATGAGTGTCAGTACTCTTACCAGTGTGTGTTTGTTTGTGATATGTAGGAGTATTGATGAGTGTCAGTACTCTTACCAGTGTGTGTTTGTTTGTGATATGTAGGAGTATTGATGAGTGTCAGTACTCTTACCAGTGTGTGTTTGTTACTTACCAGTGAGTGTCAGTACTCTTACCAGTGTGTGTTTGTTTGTGATATGTAGGGGTATTGATGAGTGTCAGTACTCTTACCAGTGTGTGTTTGTTTGTGATATGTAGGAGTATTGATGAGTGTCAGTACTCTTACCAGTGTGTGTTTGTTTGTGATATGTAGGAGTATTGATGAGGGTCAGTACTCTTACCAGTGTGTGTTTGTTTGTGATATGTAGGAGTATTGATGAGGGTCAGTACTCTTACCAGTGTGTGTTTGTTTGTGATATGTAGGAGTATTGATGAGGGTCAGTACTCTTACCAGTGTGTGTTTGTTTGTGATATGTAGGAGTATTGATGAGTGTCAGTACTCTTACCAGTGTGTGTTTGTTTGTGATATGTAGGAGTATTGATGAGGGTCAGTACTCTTACCAGTGTGTGTTTGTTTGTGATATGTAGGAGTATTGATGAGTGTCAGTACTCTTACCAGTGTGTGTTTGTTTGTGATATGTAGGAGTATTGATGAGTGTCAGTACTCTTACCAGTGTGTGTTTGTTTGTGATATGTAGGGGTATTGATTAGTGTCAGTACTCTTACCAGTGTGTGTTTGTTTGTGATATGTAGGGGTATTGATGAGTGTCAGTACTCTTACCAGTGTGTGTTTGTTTGTGATATGTAGGAGTATTGATGAGTGTCAGTACTCTTACCAGTGTGTGTTTGTTTGTGATATGTAGGAGTATTGATTAGTGTCAGTACTCTTACCAGTGTGTGTTTGTTTGTGATATGTAGGAGTATTGATGAGTGTCAGTACTCTTACCAGTGTGTGTTTGTTTGTGATATGTAGGAGTATTGATGAGTGTCAGTACTCTTACCAGTGTGTGTTTGTTTGTGATATGTAGGAGTATTGATGAGTGTCAGTACTCTTACCAGTGTGTGTTTGTTTGTGATATGTAGGAGTATTGATGAGTGTCAGTACTCTTGTTAGGATGATGAAGAGAGCTACACTCTTGTACTGTAACAACCCCACTAAAGGGGTGAGGAAGGCGGCTACTGCTGCTGTAAGAAGTTCAGTAGAGTTCCTCTCTAACACCTTCATCACGTGCTTCTCCTCTCTCCGACTCCTGGACACACATGGTTACTAGTGGTTACTAGTGGTTACTAGTGGTAACTATAAGTGGTTACTATTGGTTACTATTGGTTACTAGTGGTTACTAATAATTACTAGTGGTTACTAGCGGTAACTATTGATTACTATTGGTTACATTTTTAGTTTTAATTTTTGACATGGTTTGTGGTTTAATGTTTAATTGTCCACGCGGACGCAGGTAAGAAATTCCTTGAGTTAATTAAATTTGTTAACTCTCATATCGTTTATAGGATGCCCTTAGTGAACTATGGTTTGTTCATTTCATTATTGTTTTCACAAATCACAACACAAACTAGATAATATCTAACTTACAATTCATCAAAGTCAAATAATAATTTGAACGACAGGTACTCTGAATACCGTCCCCATTCCAGCTTTCCTGTTTTAGGCATCATTGTAGAAAATTAGTTGAAAACGAGCCCTGCTATACTACAAGCAAGGAAAACTATAAATAAGAAAACTTCTTCGGCACAGCAATACTTTGTGAATATTACCGTGACAGGTTCATTTGAGTGTTTACAGCCCACGCTTACCTTGCTTCCTATATTGTAGTTAATTAAATTGAAAATACAACCTTCTGAATGGAGGGTTTGTTGGTTACTAGTGGTTACTAGTGGTTACTAATGGAGGGTGATTTGTTGTTGGACACAATTAAGGACGGTATTTTAATAAAGAAGACAAGAACTAAATCATATCAAACTTGAATAATTGAGCTGATTTAAAGATCCAAATTTAGCAGCATAACAGTATTACTCATCAGCAGAATAATTCACCATGAAAGCACAAATCAAATCATCTTATAGTAGGACAAATTACCCTCTAAATGCTATATACTATTTACAGTGTCTTGATCTGATAACCCCTCCTCTAGTACCCTCTCCTCTTCCTCGCTTCCCTCCTCCGCTGTCTAAGACGCTGGAAGAACAATCTGCGTGCCTGGAGCATTTGTCGGCGAGATCTACGACATCTTGTTCTGTGAACAATCCTTCTCCTTCTCTGTCTCCTTCTCTTAGGTGATCTTGGACGTGGCCTGTGAGGAGACCTGTGAGGGGGTGGTGCACGCCTGGGTGGTGCACGCCTGGGTGGTCCACGCCTGGGTGGTGCACGCCTGGGTGGTGCACGCCTGGGTGGTCCACGCCTGGGTGGTCCACGACCAGGTGGTCCACGCCTGGGTGGTCCGCGACCAGGTGGTCCACGCCTGGGCGGTCCACGACCAGGTGGTCCACGACCAGGTGGTCCACGACCAGGTAGTCCACGACCAGGTGGTCCACCATGCGGAGGTCCACCAGGTCCCCCAGGTCCACCATGTGGAGGTCCACCAGGTCCACCAGGTCCACCATGTGGAGGTCCACCAGGTCCACCATGTGGAGGTCCACCAGGTCCACCAGGTCCACCAGGTCCACCATGCGGAGGTCCACCAGGTCCACCATGTGGAGGTCCACCAGGTCCACCAGGTCCACCATGTGGAGGTCCACCAGGTCCACCAGGTCCACCAGGTCCCCCAGGTCCACCAGGTCCACCAGGTCCACCAGGTCCACCAGGTCCACCATGTGGAGGTCCACCAGGTCCACCATGTGGAGGTCCACCAGGTCCACCATGCGGAGGTCCACCAGGTCCACCATGCGGAGGTCCACCAGGTCCACCAGGTCCACCAGGTCCACCGTGCGGAGGTCCACCAGGTCCACCAGGTCCACCAGGTCCACCATGTGGAGGTCCACCAGGTCCACCATGTGGAGGTCCACCAGGTCCACCAGGTCCACCATGTGGAGGTCCACCAGGTCCACCATGCGGAGGTCCACCAGGTCCACCATGCGGAGGTCCACCAGGTCCACCATGCGGAGGTCCACCAGGTCCACCAGGTCCACCATGAGGAGGTCCACCAGGTCCCCCAGGTCCACCAGGTCCACCAGGTCCACCAGGTCCACCATGTGGAGGTCCACCAGGTCCACCATGTGGAGGTCCACCAGGTCCACCATGTGGAGGTCCACCAGGTCCACCATGTGGAGGTCCACCAGGTCCGCCATGTGGAGGTCCACCAGGTCCCCCAGGTCCACCATGTGGAGGTCCACCATGCGGAGGTCCACCAGGTCCACCATGTGGAGGTCCACCAGGTCCACCATGAGGAGGTCCACCAGGTCCCCCAGGTCCACCAGGTCCACCAGGTCCGCCATGCGGAGGTCCACCAGGTCCACCATGTGGAGGTCCACCAGGTCCACCATGTGGAGGTCCACCAGGTCCAACATGTGGAGGTCCACCAGGTCCACCATGTGGAGGTCCACCAGGTCCACCAGGTCCACCATGTGGAGGTCCACCAGGTCCACCATGTGGAGGTCCACCAGGTCCACCATGTGGAGGTCCACCAGGTCCACCATGTGGAGGTCCACCAGGTCCCCCAGGTCCACCATGTGGAGGTCCACCAGGTCCACCAGGTCCACCAGGTCCACCAGGTCCACCAGGTCCACCAGGTCCACCAGGGCCTTCTGGGCCTTCTGGGCCTCCTGGGCCTCCTGGGCCTCCTGGGCCTTCTGGAGGCTGGCTCACAATTTCTTCTTCATCTAAAACGATACATTTTTTAAACTTATAAATGTTGTTATCAAGTTAGTCCGATCGTGGCAAAATAAATATAAGTATTCCAATATCTGACTGCTTTGATGGTCTAAGTTTAATCTGCTCGCAGTTAAATTATTTATAAATGTAAACCGTTTTCTACCTGTAATCTCCGCAGAGCAGACACCAGCTATTAACAAGAAAAGGATCAACCACTTCATTGTGGTTTGATCAGCTGAAACAATATAAGAGAACGAAACTAGCACTAACATTAAAGTAAACCAGGCACACAATCACATGGATTCTGGAGACTTTTTATCTTTGTACACGTGACCATATGGGAGCTACATACAATCTACAGTATACAATCTACATCGCGATAATGCAGATATTATTATACTGTATAACCACGACCACGACCACGACCACGACCCTGACCCCGACCCCGACCCCGACCCCGACCCCGACCCCGACCCCGACCCCGACCCCGACCCCGACCCCGACCCCGACCCCGACCCCGACCCCGACCCCGACCCCGACCCCGACCCCGACCCCGACCCCGACCCCGACCCCGACCCCGACCCCGACCCCGACCCCGACCCCGACCCCGACCCCGACCCCGACCCCGACCCCGACCCCGACCCCGACCCCGACCCCGACCCCGACCCCGACCCCGACCCCGACCCCGACCACGACCCTGACCCCGACCCCGACCCCGACCCCGACCCCGACCCCGACCCCGACCTCGACCCCGACCCCGACCCCGACCCCGACCCGGCCCCGACCCCGACCCGGCCCCGACCTGACATCAGCCTTGTTTGCTCAGGAGCATAATCTAAATATAATTTAAATCTGATAATGAAAACTAAGTTTAACATTTAAATTCTAGTAGTTAACATCGTTATATCTCCCGGCTCTAGCAATTATTAAAAACCCTCCCTAGTATCTTTGCAATCATTTCTCATGCATTGCATGCTCTGTTTCTTTAAAAATGTATATAACAGTGAAACTTTGCCGTTATGTATGCTTTTTGTATGATCAGTATCATGCATGGAAACGACTGTATCTCCGTTAATAATTGCGTTTCCAAGATCAATTTTGCCGTTTTTCATGATGATAATCACAGATCACTTATTGATGTCAGATTATAAATGCTTTTGAGGTTTCTTTGCACCTGCCTTTCAGCTTATTTTTAGTGCTTACCTTCCAGGAACCCGTCTAACCCTAAAGTGGTGTCAAGACTCAAGAGACTAAAATAATTATTACCTGTTTAAATTCGCGTTTTATGGGGGTCCAAATTTTGGGCACTTAAATTCTTATTCCTTGGCCAATTTTTTAATTTTTTCATGCGGATTTGGAGGCTATTAAAGCATTTGAACCAGTCAAAAAAGTTTCAGTTGTATATCTTTTACTGTTTTTGCGGAAAGTCGCGTTATTGTTAAACTTAAAGTTGATGACGTGGTGTCAAAAAATTGGTATGGATATTTATAGTAAGATCGTCTCGCTTTATATAGTAAGATATGTCTATACCATAAAAATAAACAAACATGGCGGAGGATACGAGATGAAGTGCCTCGGTGGAGTGGTTTGAATTATTTGCTGTCTCAAATCTAATTTTTATTTTCGAAGCAAGAATAATAGTCTGTAGGACCGGATATTCGCCAACAACAATACTGTAATCACAGAGCTGTAGCTGTCTGTACTCGATAAATTAGGAAGTAAATACCTGCTAGATCAAGATAGTTATAGTGTAATGAGAGCTAGTGTATAGTACACGTCAGCAAAACACAGGGGAGAGCCAGTAACTCTCAGTTGGGCTGCATGTCACTCCTCTCTCTCCTCTGTCATTTTAGTCAGCTTATAACTACTCTAATTCTTGGGATCACTTCTTTTAAAACTCCCTTTTTTCGTGTCATCATTATTTTAGGAGTTTATTAATTAATTAATTCTGTTTTGTCGGTTGCTGCAGTCTAGTTCGTCCTGCTTTTTAATGCTCAAACTACTGGACATGGATCGTTAGCGACCCCTTTTTATCTCTGTTTCCCCCAAACCTTTTGTTCTTTTCTTTTGCAAGTGGTAAATCAACTGGTTGAACCACTAATCGATCCACTAATCGATCCACTAATCGATCCACTAATCGATCCACTAATCGATCCACTGATCGAACAACTGATCGAACCACTGGTCGATCCACTGATCGAACAACTGGTCGAACAACTGGTCGAACAACTGATCGAACAACTGGTCGAACAACTGGTCGAACAACTGATCAAACAACTGATCGAACAATTGGTTGAACAACTGATCGAACCACTGATCGAACCACTGATCGAACAACTGATCGAACAACTGGTCGAACCACTGATCGAACCACTGATCGAACCACTGATCGAACCACTGATCGAACCACTGGTCGAACCACTGATCGAATAACTGATCGAACCACTGATCGAACCACTGATCGAACAATTGATCGAACAACTGGTCGAACCACTGATCGAACCACTGATCGAACCACTGATCGAACCACTGATGTAACCACTGATCGAATAACTGATCGAAGAATTGGTCGAAGAATTGGTCAAAGAATTGGTTGAACAACTGGTCGAACAACTGGTCGAACAACTGGTCGAACAACTGATCGAACCACTGATCGAACCACTGATCGAACAACTGGTCGAACAACTGGTCGAACCGCTGATCGAACAACTGGTCGAACCACTGATCGAACAACTGGTCGAACAACTGATCGAACCACTGATCGAACCACTGATCGAACCACTGATCGAATAACTGATCGAAGAATTGGTTGAACAACTGATCGAACAACTGATCGAACCACTGATCGAACAATTGATCGAACAACTGATCGAACAACTGATCGAACAATTGATCAAACAGCTTATACTCTTATACAATTTTATAGAAAATTTGTACGTGATTTGGCACTAGGATGAGAATCAGTGTTCTTGACTTTGCAGTCTGATATAATATACGAGCCACGAGGCTTACAGCGCCCATCAGTATGAGGTTTCACGATATTTTTACAGGGATATCATATATCGTATATATATATAATATACCCCTTCTATATAAACGAGGGGTGGATATTGTAATCTAATCCCGGATGTAATTGTATTATTGGATGTAAGATCAAACTGAAATGTAATTAAAGCACCGTGATTTATTGTATTCCTGTTAGCAGTAGCACTGGATAATATAAAGCTGATTACACATTAGGTGTTACATTAGGGGGGGGGGGGGGGGGGGGGGGGGGGGGGGGTACGAGGTGTCACTATTTCAGAGTTCCGTGTGATTGCAATCTCACAGGACATAGCTAGAGTTTAATTTGAGTTGTGTATTTCTGCTGATGCTATCTTAACTCGGGTTACTTCCAGTTTAATACTTGTAGACCAACTTAATCGCAAATCTTACTTAAATATTTGTTGCCTTATACTAAAGAAACTACACAATCTATACATATAACACAGGAAATAGTTGCTCCGAATTACACGTGAATTGTCTCAAAGTTTTAATTGTTACTATAGAGCTCCTCTTACATGACACCTATTTACCACTTTTTGTGAAGGTCATTGTCCCCCTTTTTGTTGTTGGCATTTTTACACACGACACAGTACAATTACAGCTATAACACCGACTTGTTAGATTGTATTGCACACAGTTGGCAAGTATAACAAGGGGTTGCCAAGGTAACACAGTTGCCAAGGTAAACGAGTTCCTTAATTAGTGTAACCTCGCAATTTTAGCCCCTAAAATTATTTCATGTCTTTTTCATGTCTTTTGCTTATGCTTTGGCAGTTTTATTTGCTTTGTTCGCACCCTCTCTTTTTTGCGGCTATAGGACGATAAATTGAACTTATTTGCATCAACTTGGCATCAAAATCAGCAAATTGGCACCCCCCTCTGGCCTCTAGTAGTGCCAACTGTAAGGACGACTAAAACTGTGTGGTTAGTCGTCCTCCGAATTGTCTTTACTGTTTAATAAAAAGGTTAACTATATAGCCATGGTTGTCCGAAGTATTTAGTTATTATTACTAAAAGCTCTGCACTGAAGGTATATAGGCAGGATGGTTAGTAACCTAATGAAGAAGTATGTGGGTTTAGTAGTACTGCTAATTTGCGCAATACTGGCTCTTAAAGAGATTGCTCAGTTCGTCAGTCCCCCCTGCATCAACTCTCTCAACTTCACTCTCACCACTATCAACACAGAGCGATCCAGCCGGAGACAAGGTTTCTTATTTATTTAGTTATTTGTTAAGTTATTCATATTATAATATTTTTTTATTCATTGATTAAGCTTTTTATTGACTCAGTTTTAACTGCTGTCTTGCTGAACTGCTGTTTTTGCTAAATGCCAGTAAATGTAATATTATTCTGTTTCACACTTCCACATTACTACAGGGTGGGCCAAAAGTCAGTACCCATACGTTGGCCTTAATAGCTCCGCCGTGTTTTATATTTGAGAGCTGTTGCTTTGCAGATGGCATACTGTACTTACTGGTTCGAGGATTCCGTCGTCAAAATTTGAAAATTCTAATATTTTAGACCACGCCCATTCAATATTAAAACACCTATATTGTTTTCTCTGAACATGCTGAACGCCTAATTTTTTTCAGAGACGGTAGATTATCAAATGTTGCATATGATCTGAAAACATGAGGCAAAACGGATTAGAAATAACGAAGTTATCAAGAATTTTCTGTATCTCGTTAACAAAATTGACTGGGTGATTATGTGACACCGTGACACGATACCTTAATTGGGCACCCTTAACAATTCCCATAATGTTTAACGGGGTAGTTAACGGGGGCACCTTATCACGTGATTAGGTAAACCAATCACCTGATCACACGTAATGAATAAACTCGTTATGCTTCATATCTCGGTCATCTGAGAAGCTACAGTTCTAATTCTTTCAGGACAAACGTAATTCGAATGGCCAAACACAATTCAATAACATTTAGCTTGATCCGACTATCCAAACTATCAAATAAATGTAAAAATGAACCTCCATTTGAAAAAAATGAACGCGAATATTTTTCGAGTTGACAAATTCCTCGAACCAGTGGTGGTACTAAGTCATACCAGAAAGAAGTATTTAAATTGGGCACCCAGTGACTGAGCTATATAAAGGCCAACGTATGGGTACTGACTTTTGGCCCACCCTGTATTATGTACAGTAATATGCTGTGTTAGTACTTAGTATTAAGTATAGTAAGTAGTAAGTTAATTAATGTGCTGTGTTAGTAGTAAGTATGGTAAGTAGCAAGTTAATCAATATGCTGTGTTAGTATTAAGTATAGTAAGTAGTAAGTTAATTAATATGCTGTGTTAAAAGTAAGTGATCTGAATTTCAGATCACATGAAGATACCCTCAGAAGTTATTATAAAATTAGACGGTAAAGCTAAACCGCAGCCGCTGAGCGCTGTTGCCAACCAATACAGTAAGTTTTACTTTAATTAGATTACAGTAAGTTTAACTTTAATTAGATTACAGTGAGTTTTACTTTAATTACATACAGTGAGTTTAACTTTAATTAGATTACAGTGAGTTTAACTTTAATAAGATTACAGTGAGTTTTACTTTAATTACATACGGTAAGTTTAACTTTAATTAGATTACAGTAAGTTTAACTTTAATTAGATTACAGTGAGTTTACTTTAATTACATACAGTAAGTTTAACTTTAATTACATACAGTGAGTTTTACTTTAATTAGATTACAGTGAGTTTAACTTTAATTACATACAGTGAGTTTTACTTTAATTAGATTACAGTGAGTTTTACTTTAATTACATACAGTGAGTTTTACTTTAATTAGATTACAGTGAGTTTTACTTTAATTACATACAGTGAGTTTAACTTTAATTAGATTACAGTGAGTTTTACTTTAATTACATACAGTGAGTTTTACTTTAATTAGATTACAGTAAGTTTAACTTTAATTGCATACAGTGAGTTTTACTTTAATTAGATTACAGTGAGTTTTACTTTAATTACATACAGTGAGTTTTACTTTAATTACATACAGTAAGTTTAACTTTAATTAGATTACAGTAAGTTTAACTTTAATTAGATTACAGTGAGTTTTACTTTAATTAGATTACAGTGAGTTTTACTTTAATTAGATTACAGTGAGTTTTACTTTAATTAGATTACAGTGGTCCGCGGACAGTGGTCCGCGGACAGTGGTCGGGCTATCTCGATACTGCCGTGAGTTTTTAATAATGCTCGCCGCTATCTGCCGCTGAATTGCTGCTGCTTTTATTTTACTATTTTGTTTTAGATAACAGTTTGGACTAATGAGTAACATATTCATAAAAAGGTTAACTGAGTAACCGTGGGGTCACTAATGGTTACTATTGGTTACTATTGGTTACTATTGGTTACTATTGGTTACTAATGGTTACTAGTGGTCACTAATGGTTACTAAAAGTTACTAATAGTTACTAATGGTTACTAATGGTTACTATTGGTTACTTATGATTACTATTGGTTACTAATGGTTACTAATGGTTACTATTGGTTACCTATGATTACTATTGGTTACTAATGGTTACTAATGGTTACTTCCTCAGGTGACACTTTCACAGGAAACAGGTTAAAGATCTGGTTTGGTGGTCGCTGTATTGATGCAGATGATGACAATAAAGAACTTACAGTTGCCCACTGCAATCCTGACTGGGTAGGTGTTAAGACATGATCAGGGTGCAATGTTCAAGGGTGTGTGTAGGGACCCCCCCCCTGGCTACGTGCCTATAGGGGGCATATTGGGGGTACAATGGTGGGGGATAGGGGGCATATTGGGGAATAAACCTTTAGTTTAACTGCAGAATAATCGCGCTTTCCTCAGGAACAAACCTTTAGTTTAACGGCGGAGGGTAAACTGATTCACGACCCGTCGGGAAAGTGTGCCGCTCTCAATAAAAATAAACTTTATTCACTAAGTAAGTATAATGAAAATAAACTTTATTCACTAAGTAAGTATAATAAAGATTAACTTTATTCACTAAGTAAGTATTTATAATAATAAATAATAAAATCAATATACCTTCTACTTAGTAATCAACTGATAAAAAGGTTTTACTTAGAAATCAGTTTAAATTTTCTGATTTTGATTAACAATATTCTATTTCAGATTTAGTGGATTGCGAAGAGGGTATGATATTCAACCTGTTTAATAACTCCTTCATCAGAAGTGATATAGGTGGCAGGACAATGTGCATCTCTCCTACAGTCCGTAAGTTGCTATCTGTTCCAGTGTTCCCGAGATATTTCCTATGTTAACTGCACAAGGTTACCATGGTAACTGCACATTGCACAAGGTTACCATGGTAACTACACATTGCACAAGGTTACCATGGTAACTGCACATTGCACAAGGTTACCATGGTAACTGCACATTGCACAAGGTTACCATGGTAACTGCACATTGCACAAGGTTACCATGGTAACTGCACATTGCACAAGGTTACCATGGTAACTGCCTTATCTACCAGCTTTTTTTTCTCCTATTTGTTTATTTTAAATTCAATATTTTTTATTTCAGAGACAGATATCCGCCAATCTAATAGATTCACCTGTTTGAATGTCCCTGTTGCTTTGACGCCATGTCACGAAGAGGATTCACGAATAGAGCTTATCGAGGAATCATGTTAGTGTATTATTTTACTCTCAATGTTAACATAGCAATATAATGTTACTCAGTGTTACCATAGCAATACAATGTTACAATCAGTGTTACCATAGCAATACAATGTTACTCTCAATGTTACCATAGCAATACAATATTACTATCAGTGTTACCATAGCAATACAATGTTAATCTTAGTGTTACCATAGCAATACAATGTTACTCCCGGTAACAATAACAATAAATGTTATTATCAATTTTTACCATACAAAGTACAAACATTTCAAAAAAGATTAGTATGAATTTTATGGTGACTATGTTAATATATTAATAGAAAAAAGTGGTTAAATGAAATAAAAACAATTAGCATTGCAATCATTGTATTAGTATTGCTAATTTATAGTATTGTTACTGATTGATTAACATTTTCAGTTTTCTTGTCGGAGAGAAAAACTTTCAAAGACACAGTCGCCCCGTCAACCGGGTCATGCACTTTTAAAGCATGCGGACTGAACCCCCCTGTCAAAGCAGTGGAGATGTTAAAACCTCTCTTTTCCATCAGGTACAATGATTCTTGATTCTTTTATATAATAATTGATCGAATTTTCGAATAAAAATACAATAAACGCAGGCAAATCTATAATGATGTGAATCAAGAATAATTATTTTTTGAATGAAAACTTAAATTTAAAATAATGACAAAAACAATGATTGTCAGATGTAAGAAAGTGTTTGATTGTGTAACCGTGGTAACAAAGACAGCGAGAAGACCTTACCTTGTCATGAGGCTTGCTAAATCTATCAGGGACAAAAAAGGTTTGTAGTTTGTAGTTTGTCATTTACTGACAATCAGCACTTACTTATAAACGCACGGTCAGGGATCATTTACTATTTAGCTAAGTATCACCATGGTTTCCTCTCGGTTTTTTGAGATATGCTTCACATGCTGTCCAATGATTTAACCTGATCTCTTTGACCAATACCACATTACAGGATATGATCTAAGGATAATAGCATATGACGATGGTCCTAACGACTACCCAAAAGAAGTTTGGGATGATATGAAAGAGTACCCCTTCCTTCAGTATATGATAGGGGAGAGTGATGATATGGGCATCTCACTAGGCAGGTAGTGTCAAATAATAATCATAAGTAACCATTAGTAACCATTAGTAACCATTAGTAACCATTAGTAACCACTAGTAACCATTAGGAACTTGGCTCCCTTCCTTCAGTATATGATAGGGGAGAGTGATGATATGGGCATCTCACTAGGCAGGTAGTGTCAAATAATAATCATAAGTAACCATAAGTAACCATTAGTAACCATTAGTAACCACTAGTAACCATTAGGAACTTGGCTCCCTTCCTTCAGTATATGATAGGGGAGAGTGATGATATGGGCATCTCACTAGGCAGGTAGTGTCAAATAATAATCATAAGTAACCATTAGTAACCATTAGTAACCACTAGTAACCATTAGGAACTTGGCTCCCTTCCTTCAGTATATGATAGGAGAGAGTGATGATATGGGCATCTCGCTAGGCAGGTAGTGTAAAATAATAATCATAAGTAACCATTAGTAACCATTAGTAACCATAAGGAACTTGGCTCCATTCCTTCAGTAAATGATAGGAGACAGTGATGATATGGGCATCTCGCTAGGCATGTAGTGTAAAATAGAGGCAACCAGACTAGTCATATATGGGCGTACCTGTGATAAACTCGGCCTGCTCACAGGTATTCTTACACTACACAGTACACACTGCACTTACTCACTAAACTTACCACATTACACTGCAGGAACTTGGCTCTCAAGATGGTAAAAACTAAGTATTTCCTCCTGGTGGATGACGATCATGTATTCAACGATAAGTCTAATCTTGACAAGGTCAGTTGTTATAGGTTCTACTGTTAGATAAGTCTAATCTTGACAAGGTCAGTTGTTATAGGTTCTACTGTTAGATAAGTCTAATCTTGACAAGGTCAGTTGTTATAAGTTCTAATGTTAGATAAGTCTAATCTTTACAAGGTCAGTTGTTATAGGTTCTACTGTTAGATAAGTCTAATCTTGACAAGGTCAGTTGTTATAGGTTCTACTGTTTTTGATAAGTCTAATCTTGACAAGGTCAGTTGTTATAGGTTCTACTGTTTTTGATAAACATAATTAAATATGTCAAAGTAAAGATAATTAGAAAGAAAGAAACTAACATTAAGAAATTGTAACATTTTAAACCATAGTTGCTATGTTGAGGTATCTTATAACTAACTATAAAACATTCAGATGATAGAGATACTCGACACAACGGACGCTACCCTGGTTGGAGGCAAGTTTGAAGGGTTTATGAAGTTTGCGGGAGCGCTGAGGTTCGGTAACTACCACGGGAGAGAAGAATTTGCTATTTTCAGCGGGCACTGTGACAGAAACCTCACCAAGTGGGGGTGCGAGCAGTGCGACTCCACCAGCAACATCTTCATGGCTAAAACTCAGCCTGTATTAGAGGTAAGTGGGGTGCGAGCAGTGCGACTCCACCAGCAACATCTTCATGGCTAAAACTCAGCCTGTATTAGAGGTAAGTGGGGTGCGAGCAGTGCGACTCCACCAGCAACATCTTCATGGCTAAAACTCAGCCTGTATTAGAGGTAAGTGGGGGTGCGAGCAGTGCGACTCCACCAGCAACATCTTCATGGCTAAAACTCAGCCTGTATTAGAGGTAAGGGGGGTGCGAGCAGTGCGACTCCACCAGCAATATCTTCATGGCTAAAACTCAGCCTGTATTAGAGGTAAGTGGGGTGCGAGCAGTGCGACTCCACCAGCAACATCTTCATGGCTAAAACTCAGCCTGTATTAGAGGTTTAGAGGTAAGTGGGGTGCGAGCAGTGCGACTCCACCAGCAACATCTTCATGGCTAAAGCTCAGCCTGTATTAGAGGTAAGGGGGGTGCGAGCAGTGCGACTCCACCAGCAACATCTTCATGGCTAAAACTCAGCCTGTATTAGAGGTAAGTGGGGTGCGAGCAGTGCGACTCCACCAGCAACATCTTCATGGCTAAAACTCAGCCAGTATTAGAGGTAAGTGGGGTGCGAGCAGTGCGACTCCACCAGCAACATCTTCATGGCTAAAACTCAGCCTGTATTAGAGGTAAGGAGGGTGCGAGCAGTGTGACTCCACCAGCAACATCTTCATGGCTAAAACTCAGCCTGTATTAGAGGTAAGTGGGGTGCGAGCAGTGCGACTCCACCAGCAACATCTTCATGGCTAAAACTCAGCCTGTATTAGAGGTAAGTGGGGTGCGAGCAGTGCGACTCCATCAGCAACATCTTCATGGCTAAAACTCAGCCTGTATTAGAGGTAAGTGGGGTGCGAGCAGTGCGACTCCACCAGCAACATCTTCATGGCTAAAACTCAGCCTGTATTAGAGGTAAGGGGGGTGCGAGCAGTGCGACTCCACCAGCAACATCTTCATGGCTAAAACTCAGCCTGTATTAGAGTTAAGTGGGGTGCGAGCAGTGCGACTCCACCAGCAACATCTTCATGGCTAAAACTCAGCCTGTATTAGAGGTAAGTGGGGTGCGAGCAGTGCGACTCCACCAGCAACATCTTCATGGCTAAAACTCAGCCTGTATTAGAGGTAAGTGGGGTGCGAGCAGTGCGACTCCATCAGCAACATCTTCATGGCTAAAACTCAGCCTGTATTAGAGGTAAGTGGGGTGCGAGCAGTGCGACTCCACCAGCAACATCTTCATGGCTAAAACTCAGCCTGTATTAGAGGTAAGTGGGGTGCGAGCAGTGTGACTCCACCAGCAACATCTTCATGGCTAAAACTCAGCCTGTATTAGAGGTAAGTGGGGTGCGAGCAGTGCAACTCCACCAGCAACATCTTCGTGGCTAAAACTCAGCCTGTATTAGAGGTAAGTGGGGTGCGAGCAGTGCGACTCCACCAGCAACATCTTCATGGCTAAAACTCAGCCTGTATTAGAGGTAAGTGGGGTGCGAGCAGTGCAACTCCACCAGCAACATCTTCGTGGCTAAAACTCAGCCTGTATTAGAGGTAAGTGGGGTGCGAGCAGTGCGACTCCACCAGCAACATCTTCATGGCTAAAACTCAGCCTGTATTAGAGGTAAGTGGGGTGCGAGCAGTGCGACTCCACCAGCAACATCTTCATGGCTAAAACTCAGCCTGTATTAGAGGTAAGTGGGGTGCGAGCAGTGCGACTCCACCAGCAACATCTTCATGGCTAAAACTCAGCCTGTATTAGAGGTAAGTGGGGTGCGAGCAGTGCGACTCCACCAGCAACATCTTCATGGCTAAAACTCAGCCTGTATTAGAGTTAAGTGGGGGTGCGAGCAGTGCGACTCCACCAGCAACATCTTCATGGCTAAAACTCAGCCTGTATTAGAGTTAAATGGGGGTGCGAGCAGTGCGACTCCACCAGCAACATCTTCATGGCTAAAACTCAGCCTGTATTAGAGGTAAGGGGGTGCGAGCAGTGCGACTCCACCAGCAACATCTTCATGGCTAAAACTCAGCCTGTATTAGAGGTAAGGGGGGTGCGAGCAGTGCGACTCCACCAGCAACATCTTCATGGCTAAAACTCAGCCTGTATTAGAGGTAAGTGGGGTGCGAGCAGTGCGACTCCACCAGCAACATCTTCATGGCTAAAACTCAGCCTGTATTAGAGGTAAGTGGGGTGCGAGCAGTGCGACTCCACCAGCAACATCTTCATGGCTAAAACTCAGCCTGTATTAGAGGTAAGTGGGGTGCGAGCAGTGCGACTCCACCAGCAACATCTTCATGGCTAAAACTCAGCCTGTATTAGAGGTAAGTGGGGTGCGAGCAGTGCGACTCCACCAGCAACATCTTCATGGCTAAAACTCAGCCTGTATTAGAGGTAAGTGGGGTGCGAGCAGTGCGACTCCACCAGCAACATCTTCATGGCTAAAACTCAGCCTGTATTAGAGGTAAGTGGGGTGCGAGCAGTGCGACTCCACCAGCAACATCTTCATGGCTAAAACTCAGCCTGTATTAGAGGTAAGTGGGGTGCGAGCAGTGCGACTCCACCAGCAACATCTTCATGGCTAAAACTCAGCCTGTATTAGAGGTAAGTGGGGTGCGAGCAGTGCGACTCCACCAGCAACATCTTCATGGCTAAAACTCAGCCTGTATTAGAGGTAAGGGGGGTGCGAGCAGTGCGACTCCACCAGCAACATCTTCATGGCTAAAACTCAGCCTGTATTAGAGGTAAGTGGGGTGCGAGCAGTGCGACTCCACCAGCAACATCTTCATGGCTAAAACTCAGCCTGTATTAGAGGTAAGTGGGGTGCGAGCAGTGCGACTCCACCAGCAACATCTTCATGGCTAAAACTCAGCCTGTATTAGAGGTAAGTGGGGTGCGAGCAGTGCGACTCCACCAGCAACATCTTCATGGCTAAAACTCAGCCTGTATTAGAGGTAAGTGGGGTGCGAGCAGTGCGACTCCACCAGCAACATCTTCATGGCTAAAACTCAGCCTGTATTAGAGGTAAGTGGGGTGCGAGCAGTGCGACTCCACCAGCAACATCTTCATGGCTAAAACTCAGCCTGTATTAGAGGTAAGTGGGGGTGCGAGCAGTGCGACTCCACCAGCAACATCTTCATGGCTAAAACTCAGCCTGTATTAGAGTTAAGTGGGGGTGCGAGCAGTGCGACTCCACCAGCAACATCTTCATGGCTAAAACTCAGCCTGTATTAGAGGTAAGGGGGGTGCGAGCAGTGCGACTCCACCAGCAACATCTTCATGGCTAAAACTCAGCCTGTATTAGAGGTAAGGGGGGTGCGAGCAGTGCGACTCCACCAGCAACATCTTCATGGCTAAAACTCAGCCTGTATTAGAGGTAAGTGGGGTGCGAGCAGTGCGACTCCACCAGCAACATCTTCATGGCTAAAACTCAGCCTGTATTAGAGGTAAGTGGGGTGCGAGCAGTGCGACTCCACCAGCAACATCTTCATGGCTAAAACTCAGCCTGTATTAGAGGTAAGGGGGGTGCGAGCAGTGCGACTCCACCAGCAACATCTTCATGGCTAAAACTCAGCCTGTATTAGAGGTAAGTGGGGTGCGAGCAGTGCGACTCCACCAGCAACATCTTCATGGCTAAAACTCAGCCTGTATTAGAGGTAAGGAGGGTGCGAGCAGTGCGACTCCACCAGCAACATCTTCATGGCTAAAACTCAGCCTGTATTAGAGGTAAGGGGGGTGCGAGCAGTGCGACTCCACCAGCAACATCTTCATGGCTAAAACTCAGCCTGTATTAGAGGTAAGTGGGGTGCGAGCAGTGCGACTCCACCAGCAACATCTTCATGGCTAAAACTCAGCCTGTATTAGAGGTAAGTGGGGTGCGAGCAGTGCGACTCCACCAGCAACATCTTCATGGCTAAAACTCAGCCTGTATTAGAGGTAAGTGGGGTGCGAGCAGTGCGACTCCACCAGCAACATCTTCATGGCTAAAACTCAGCCTGTATTAGAGGTAAGTGGGGTGCGAGCAGTGCGACTCCACCAGCAACATCTTCATGGCTAAAACTCAGCCTGTATTAGAGGTAAGTGGGGTGCGAGCAGTGCGACTCCACCAGCAACATCTTCATGGCTAAAACTCAGCCTGTATTAGAGGTAAGTGGGGGTGCGAGCAGTGCAACTCCACCAGCAACATCTTCATGGCTAAAACTCAGCCTGTATTAGAGGTAAGTGGGGTGCGAGCAGTGCGACTCCACCAGGAACATCTTCATGGCTAAAACTCAGCCTGTATTAGAGGTAAGTGGGGTGCGAGCAGTGCGACTCCACCAGCAACATCTTCATGGCTAAAACTCAGCCTGTATTAGAGGTAAGGGGGGTGCGAGCAGTGCGACTCCACCAGCAACATCTTCATGGCTAAAACTCAGCCTGTATTAGAGGTAAGGAGGGTGCGAGCAGTGCGACTCCACCAGCAACATCTTCATGGCTAAAACTCAGCCTGTATTAGAGGTAAGGAGGGTGCGAGCAGTGCGACTCCACCAGCAACATCTTCATGGCTAAAACTCAGCCTGTATTAGAGGTAAGTGGGGTGCGAGCAGTGCGACTCCACCAGCAACATCTTCATGGCTAAAACTCAGCCTGTATTAGAGGTAAGTGGGGTGCGAGCAGTGCAACTCCACCAGCAACATCTTCATGGCTAAAACTCAGCCTGTATTAGAGGTAAGGAGGGTGCGAGCAGTGCGACTCCACCAGCAACATCTTCATGGCTAAAACTCAGCCTGTATTAGAGGTAAGTGGGGTGCGAGCAGTGCGACTCCGCCAGCAACATCTTCATGGCTAAAACTCAGCCTGTATTAGAGGTAAGTGGGGTGCGAGCAGTGCGACTCCACCAGCAACATCTTCATGGCTAAAACTCAGCCTGTATTAGAGGTAAGTGGGGTGCGAGCAGTGCGACTCCACCAGCAACATCTTCATGGCTAAAACTCAGCCTGTATTAGAGGTAAGTGGGGTGCGAGCAGTGCGACTCCACCAGCAACATCTTCATGGCTAAAACTCAGCCTGTATTAGAGGTAAGTGGGGTGCGAGCAGTGCGACTCCACCAGCAACATCTTCATGGCTAAAACTCAGCCTGTATTAGAGGTAAGTGGGGTGCGAGCAGTGCGACTCCACCAGCAACATCTTCATGGCTAAAACTCAGCCTGTATTAGAGGTAAGTGGGGTGCGAGCAGTGCGACTCCGCCAGCAACATCTTCATGGCTAAAACTCAGCCTGTATTAGAGGTAAGTGGGGTGCGAGCAGTGCGACTCCACCAGCAACATCTTCATGGCTAAAACTCAGCCTGTATTAGAGGTAAGTGGGGTGCGAGCAGTGCGACTCCACCAGCAACATCTTCATGGCTAAAACTCAGCCTGTATTAGAGGTAAGTGGGGTGCGAGCAGTGCGACTCCACCAGCAACATCTTCATGGCTAAAACTCAGCCTGTATTAGAGGTAAGGGGGGTGCGAGCAGTGCGACTCCACCAGCAACATCTTCATGGCTAAAACTCAGCCTGTATTAGAGGTAAGGGGGGTGCGAGCAGTGCGACTCCACCAGCAACATCTTCATGGCTAAAACTCAGCCTGTATTAGAGGTAAGGGGGGTGCGAGCAGTGCGACTCCACCAGCAACATCTTCATGGCTAAAACTCAGCCTGTATTAGAGGTAGGACATTGATATCTTTCCTAATACCTGTCCTGATATCTTTCCTAATACCTGTCCTGATATCTTTCCTAATACCTGTCCTAATATCTTTCCTAATACCTGTCCTAATATCTTTCCTAATACCTGTCCTAATATCTTTCCTAATACCTGTCCTAATATCTTTCCTAATACCTGTCCTAATATCTTTCCTAATACCTGTCCTAATATCATTCCTAATACCTGTCCTGATATCTTTCCTAATACCTGTCCTAATATCTTTCCTAATACCTGTCCTAATATATTTCCTAATACCTGTCCTAATATCTTTCCTAATACCTGTCCTAATATCTTTCCTAATACCTGTCCTAATATCTTTCCTAATACCTGTCATAATATCTTTCCTAATACCTGTCCTGATATCTTTCCTAATACCTGTCCTAATATCATTCCAAATACCTGTCCTCATATCTTTCCTAATACCTGTCCTAATATCTTTCCTAATACCTGTCCTAATATCTTTCCTAATACCTATCCTAATATCTTTCCTAATACATGTCCTAATATCTTTCCTAATACCTGTCCTAATATCTTTCCTAATACCTGTCCTAATATCTTTCCTAATACCTGTCCTAATATCTTTCCTAATACCTGTCCTAATATCTTTCCTAATACCTGTCCTAATATCTTTCCTAATACCTGTCATAATATCTTTCCTAATACCTGTCCTGATATCTTTCCTAATACCTATCCTAATATCTTTCCTAATAATTTTCCTAATATCTTTCCTAATACCTGTCCTAATATCTTTCCTAATACCTGTCCAAATACCTTTCCTAATACCTGTCCTAATATCTTTCCTAATACCTGTCCTGATAATTGTTTTAATATTTGTCCTAACATTTGTTTTCGCATCAGATAGGAGGCTGGAGCGAAGAGTTACTGATAGCAGAACATGCAGATTTCTTCGTAAAAATGAAAGCCGTGGGAAATAAAATAGTGTACTGTGACGATATAGAGGTTATAAATCAACAGGAGACTCCGGAGGAACGATCCAAAAATTATCAAAAACTCAGGTTAATAATTTACTATAGCAATACTATAGGTTACTATAGCAACGCAGCAAGTCACTATAGCAACATTATAGCTAAACTTCTAGTTACTTATTTACTACAGTAACGCTAAAAGTTAGCATCGTTACAGACAACTGGACAACAGTACAAGTTACGGTTCTTTTGCGATAGTCAAAACGCGACAACTAGCGCTGGATGGCGACAACTAGCGCTAGTTGTCGCTATCCAGCGCTGGATAACGCTGGCCAGCGCAAAATATATATGTGTTCGATAATTGTCGCTATCCAGCGCTAGTTGTCGCCATCCAGCGCTAGTTGTCGACATCCAGTGCTAGTTGTCGCTATCCAGCGCTAGTTGTCGCTGTCCAGCGCTAGTTGTCGCTATCAAGCGCAAAATATCAATTTTTGATAATTTTTCGATAATTGTCGCGACAAATAGCGCTGGATAGCGACAACTAGCGCTGGACAGCGACAACTAGCGCTGGATAGCGACAACTAGCGCTGGACAGCGACAACTAGCGCTGGATGTCGACAACTAGCGCTGGCCTGCGCTGGCCATCGATAGCCAGCGCAAAATTTTTGCGATATTACTCGTCAGCTAGCGCTGGCCAGCACAATGTATCAAAATCAATATCATATACTTGCGATATTACTATATACTTATTAAGCAATATATTATTACTATTAGAATAGAAATTCGGCGGAATGACAGGCTGAGCGCCGCCCAGTAAGTTGAGCTCCACCCAGCTAGTAAGCCAACGCTAACGATTGTAAATGTAGGTTTATAACCGTACCTTTAGTTTTAGTTTTAGTTTTTACAAATATTTGCGCACCGAGTTGGACTTGGATTTGAAAAATATTTCCAATTTTACGAGTATCAGACTATCACCCGTTAACTTTAAGCTGACAAAAAATATTGCAAATATATTGCGCTGGTCAGTCAGCGTCAGCTTCACATAGCCATGTGCCTACGCGTACTGCGTGCGTGACGCGCTTGTTGTCGCGCGCTACTGCAAGCGAGAGGGCTCTGGTTAGAGCAAAGCGTCAGCTGACGATTATAATAATATCGCAAATATTTGATTTTGGTATATTGCGCTGGCTAGCGAGAGCCGGCGCAAGCTGACGAGTAATATCGCAAATATTTGATTTTGAGTTATCATGGCATTGCGCTGGCTAGCGCTAGCTGACGAACAATATTATTATTGCAACTATATTCCGCTGGCCAGTGCTGGCTGACGAGCAATATCGCAAATATTTGATTTTCATATATTAGCTGACGAATAATATCGCAAGTATATGATTTTGATACATTGTGCTGGCCAGCGCTGGATAGCGCTGGCTAGCGCTGAATGGATGATGATTAATCACTCTACACTCGACTGTCACGTGACTTTTTCAACCCGTTCTCTAGCTGGTTCTGAACGACTTTTCGAAACCCTAACCCTCTAGTCTAATCTGATCCCAACCCTAACCCAATCCTTAACAAAAACATATGCTGAAACCCTAACCCTAACGAAAAATTAGACTAACTTCCTTATACGGTCATATCACGTGATCAAGACAGTTTTTCGCCAATATCTCGTCAGGGGAGCATTTTAACCCTATGTCATGGGGGGGGGGGGGGGGGGGGGGGTGATTCGGAATCAGCGTCCGAAAATACATCGATTGAAGTTGGTTTCAACCGTCGGGGGCCCTTTTAGAACAATCTCGAAGATCGACTGTAGAGTGATTTAGCACGCTCGGCGCTGGATAGCGCTGGATAGCGCTGGATAGCGCTGGATAGCGCTGGATAGCGCTGGATAGCGCCGGATAGCGCTGGCCAGCGCTAGCTGACGAGTAATATTGCAAACATTTTGCGCTGGCTATCGATGGCCAGCGCTGGCCAGCGCTAGTTGTCGCTATCCAGCGCTAGTTATCAAACTGTTTTCTGCGATGGCCAGTTGCGCTGGCCATCGCAAACTATCGCGTGCGACAGTGTCGCATAGCCAGCGACAACTAGCGCTGGATAGCGACAACTATTAGTTGTCGCTATCCAGCGCTAGTTGTCGCTGGCTAGTTGAACTAAGGCTGGATGGCGTCAACTAGCGCTGGATGGCGACAACTAGCGCTGGATGGCGACAACTAGCGCTGGATAGCGACAATTATCGAACATATAAATTTTGCGCTGGCCAGCGTTATCCAGCGCTGGATAGCGACAACTAGCGCTGGATGGCGCCAACTAGCGCTGGATAGCGCTAGTTGTCGCCATCCAGCGCTAGTTGTCGCGTTTTGACTATCGCAAAAGAACCCAAGTTACTATAGCAACACTAGAAGTTACTATAGCAACATCATAGCAACACTAAAAGTTAGAGTAAGTTAGAGTAAGTTGATGTTGCTTGTTCTCAGGTACGATATGGGGAGAAAGAACAGGATGTTCCGATTAATGAACGCTCGTTACAACGTTAACGGGCTGTTCTGGTGTTCAAAGTACGAAGTTGTAGAAGAAACTCAAGAACTTAAGTGTCTGGAAACAAAACACAAGATTGGATACTGCTAGGCTTTTTGACCAGATACCAAAAGCCTGCCCACATTTATATATCACAAATTGAGAGATCATTTTTGTGGGGCAGAAAACCGATATTATCATCAATATTATCACCACTATAGTCCGACTTTTGACTTCGAATCTGGAATCCCAAACTTTTTTACAAATTGTAATTATTTCGTTAATATTAATAACTTTCAGATAATAATTTGTTTTTCCTTTTATATTGTAAGATGGAGTGATTAGACAACAACTTTTATTTTCGGTTTGATCAGAGCGCGCATGTACTACATGCTTTTTCATTTTGGATATCGCAGCTTCCTACATGATGTAGGAAGCTGCGATATCCAAAAAGCTCGATCACTCCGCAAAACGATGTCGTCATAACAACGCGCAATTTTCAGCCTGATCACTCAGGGACAAGGTTAAATTTGCCGAGGGTGGAATTTCAATTCCAAATTGAGTGAACTTGATAGAATAGTTTGTTAATAAACAAAAAGCTTGATTAACCTAAGATTATTCAAACTTTATAATAAATAAAGGGGGGGGGGGGGGGGGGGGGGGAGCTTCGCGCCACAGCCTTATTAATATTTTTTGACGCTTCGCGCCAAAGCCAAAAATTCCAGGGTAAGGACAAAAGGAAATTGCAGCATGTTGATGTGCGGTATCGCGATTTTTCAGATCCTGGCATCACAAAATCTTACATGGGGGCCTCAGGCTATTATATTCATGTTTATAATCATATTCATATGAACATAAATCACCGATCAATAGAGATTCGATTTCGGCGGAATGACAGGCTGAGCGCGGCCCAGTGGCTCTGGCAGTAAGACAAATCGCGATTTTTTCAGTTCTCCGCGTCAAATTGTGCATTTTCCTTTAAATCTGAGGACCAAATTCGCGTATTTTCCTTCAAATCTGTGGGCCAAATATAACGTTTTTTATAATTAGTATATTTGACCAAAACCCATAATCATGAGTAGGGTGGACCGCTAGGCTGCCAGTGTCTCTCTTTCCCAAACAAAAGGATATGATATCAATTTGATTGACCGTTCTCAGAGGATGATGATTAATCACTCTACACTCGACTGTCACGTGACTTTTTCAACCCGTTCTCTAGCTGGCCCTGAAAGACTATTCGAAACCCTAACCCTCTAGTCTGATTCCAACCCTAACCCTAACCCAATCCATAACAAAAGCATATGCTGAAACCCTAACCCTAACGAGAAATTATATGGTCATATCACGTGATCGAGACAGTTTTTCGCCAATATCTCGTCAGGGGAGCATTTTAACCCTATGTCATGGGGGGTGATTCGGAATCAGCGTCCGAAAATATACATCGATTGAAGTTGGTTTCAACTGTCGGGAGCCCTTTTAGAACAATCTCGAAGATCGACTGTAAAGTGATTTAGCACGCTCGGTTCTCAAATGCAAAATGATACCGAGAATGAAATCGGTCGCTCGCTTTTCCCATTCATTTACAATTGTAATAGATTAAGAAGAACTACCCGAAGGCAGCTGTACTGGGAAACAAAGATTCAATAAACTTCAGCTAATTCACTAACTACCACCCTTATCCCGAAATACTAGGTATCGACCCGAACACAACCCAAAGAGATTTTGACAGCATGTGATTGATGTAATTAATCGAAACTTATTACAATTCGTAAGCCGTGAATGAATGGGAAAAGCGAGCGACCGATTTCATTCTCGGTATCATTTTGCATTTGAGAACGGTCAATCAAATTGATATCATATCCTTTTGTTTGGGAAAGAGAGACACTGGCAGCGGTCCACTCTACCCATGATTATGGGTTTTGGTCAAATATGTACAGGGTGGGCCAAAAGTCAGAACCCATACGTTGGGTCTTATACCTCCGCCGTGTTTTATATTTGAGAGCTGTTGCTTTGCAGATGGCATACTGTACTTATTACTGGTTCGAGGATTCCGTCGTCAAAATTTGAAAATTCGAATATTTTAGACCACGCCCATTCAATATTAAAACAACTATATTGTTTTCTCTGAACATGCTGAACGCCTAATTTTTTCAGAGACGGTAGATTATCAAATGTTGCATATGAGCTGAAAACATGAGGCAAAACGGATAAGAAATGACGAATTTATCAAGCATTTTCTGTATCTCGTTAACAAAATTGACTGGGTGATTATGTGACACCGTGACACGACACCTTAATTGGGCACCCTTAACAATTCCCATAATGTTTAACGGGGTAGTTAACGGGGTCACCTGGTAACTGAGCAGCCTGATAAGCTACACTTTATCAGAAACGGTGCTATAAAGAGTACTGATAAGACTAATAAGACTGCAGAATGAGCTTGTGTGTTTTTAATAATTGATTATTATTAGTGTATTCAAGTTTTTGTTGTGTGGAGGATGTTTTAACTCACTCTTGTGTGCCCAATCTTGCACTGTCAGTATTTCTCGACACTTTGAGCACACAAAACTGTCAGTTTTCGCGACAATTGTCAGATTTCGTTTTCAGTTCTGTCAATTTCAAGCGCTACTAGCTCTACTACTAGTAGTCTACTTCAGGTCACAGTAAAGGGAGTTTTCGTCGTGCGTGTAGCGCCCTTCAAGTTTAACTTGGACGGATAGGATTTATAAAACTTCTGATTATAATATGTATACTATATTGTATTTTGTATTTATGTATTTTAGTAAATGGTCATTAGAACCACCGGCACCGTCCGGGCCCAAAAAAACAAAAAACAAACACCTTATCACGTGATTAGGTAAACCAATCACCTGATCACACGTAATGAATAAACTCGTTATGCTTCATATCTCGGTCATCTGAGAAGCTACAGTTCTAATTCTTTCAGGACAAACGTAATTCGAATGGCCAAACACAATTCAATAACATTTAGCTTTATCCGACTATCCAAACTATAAAATAAATGTGAAAATGAACCTCCATTTTAAAAAAATTAACGTGAATATTTTTCGAGTTGACAAATTCCTCGAACCAGTAATGGTACTAAGTCATACCAGAAAGAAGTATTAAAATTGAGCACTCAGTGACTGAGCTATTAAGGCCAACGTATGGGTACTGACTTTTGGCCCACCCTGTATATTATATATATGTATGTATGTATCACGACAATCTATCGTAAAACAGGGGTTCCAGAAAACCCATTTCCCGATACTCCTGAAACACGACATTTTTTTACAGTCGATTTGGTCAACGTCTAGACGCCCTGTAAAGTTTCAGATCTCTAACTCAATTTTCACATGGTTTTTAAGGCACCTGAATATGGCGATTTTGGTTTTTTAACCTAATTTCGTATAACATGCTGGCGCGTATTTTGCGCAAATTTCTTTAAAACCTCCACATAACTATTTCTTATTCCTGACATCTTTAACATTGAATTAGAATGTTTTTTACCTAAATATACCTGCTGAACTACTTTCGATGAGTCTTAATGCCTGGAAAACAATAAAGGGGATATAATACTAATAGTATAGGGGGCAAATAGTATTGTGAATATAACGGCAACGGTAATGCTTGCCAGCATTGTGATATAATACAATCATTTAACTATCCTTATTTACCTGTTTCAATTGCAGTTATCTTCCAGATATAAATTCACATAAAATTCTAAAGTCCATAATTGCAATATAAATTTACTGTCCTAATAATTATCTGTACAATGAGAGTTTGGGCTTGAACTTCTTCCCTGAGTGAGTCTCAAACCGGGAGAACCATAACATTTAATGCGATCCTAATTTAATGAAATATAAGAATTAAATAATCTCTAGTAGTCATGGGAAAATAATACTTGAAGTAGGTAGTTTTAATAAGTTGAACGTGCTAAAATCCGAGCTAGCCCCTTAACAGGGGTGCACGATAAAAAATAAACTTGCTCGGATTTTCGAAATTTTTGTACCATTGTTTTCTAGAGACTGTGAGAATTTTCACAATACCAAATTTGTCATACCTTTTTGAAATGATCACTTGATCAGTGAGTTTCGCCTTGTTGCCATATTTGATGGTGCGCGGCTTTCGGAGCAAAAGTAGGTGTAAAAGTCGCATAATTTGACGAAATTCGTTGATTTTTGTCGTATTATTCTGTCATATCTTCAGTTCCTTGAATGAGATTATTCTGAAAATTGGTGAAGACCTTCCAATAGGGCATTCACAACTGTCCGAAAAATTTGGTGGATATTGGAGTTGATATAGTGATAAAAATGGGGCAAAATGGGGCAAAATACGCTACTTTTAGCTGTAACGTAATGTCTGATGGTTGGATATGCTTTACATTTTTCGGACACTTTCCTTGTAAGTGAAAGTCTATGAGTAAGCTAACCAATTTTTGTTAAAATTGGATAATAAATAAATTTATTATTGAACTATGCCTACAACAATTACAAGTGTTTCTTAAATTTTAATTGGTGGTATTTATACATAATTATGGGATTTTAATAAAATCATCTTTGTACAATTGAGTTGAAATTATATTAGTTCATAGTTTGTACTGTGCAGTGTAAACGTAAAATATTTAAAATTTATGTACCAGTTTCCCAAATGAGAAATAATATAATAAAACGTTTTGTTTCACTTGGCGATACTGATCTTTGTTAAATCATTTTCTTTTGCTTTTAAAACTTTCATCTCAATCATTTGGACTTGATCATGGCGACACTCATTTTTATTGATACAATTACAGGTAGTGTTAAATTGTTCAGGGGAAACTTTCTTATTTCTCCACTTCTTAGCAAAAACTGGTTTCGATTTTTCTTTGACTTTTTCTAATAAAGTTGTGGAGAAATCGTTGTACAAAATAGGGTTGATTACAGAGTTGATAGGTAAAAATACTATGGAGATAAGAGAGTAGTATGGTGTAGCGTCGATGACTGCTCCCGAGTGGAGACAGGAAACTATGGTAACTGGTAACCAACAAAGAAAATCCGTTGCTATGATCAGCGATATTTTTCGCTGCAATCTTCTGTTCCTTTTCCTTACTTCATGACCTGTATGTGTTTTACCCTGGGTAAGCACTTTTGACGTGGTTCTGGTTCTATTGTCGATGAAAATGTAGCAGACTGAAATTACTAAAAAGCAAACCATGTTTAATGATAGGATGCCCCAAGCATAAATTCGTTGAGGATCGTCTGCTTTAACAAAAAACTTGAATAGACAAACTCCTTCATTCCCGTAAAATTCAATCTTCTTTCGACCAAG